TGTGGAAGATCAGACTAAGCTGCAACCACAGAGCATACTCAGACAGAACCTTGACTCAGTTACCAAGATAGATCTTTTCTGATGTGGAAGATCAGACTATGCTGCAACCACAGAGCATATTTAGACAGTACATTGGCTCTGATACCAATTGTTGCGGAAGCCAAATGTATATAACGTGAATGAGTCACAACTACTATACCAAAAATTATGACAACCACTCAATAATAAACAAGACAATAAGACAACAATAAAAGAACACCAGAATTTACGAGGTTCGGCCAATTTTGCCTACTTTCTCGGATACAATCAATATTTTATTCCACTCCAAAATTACAAGTGAAATAATACTAAAGAGAGAAGATACAAATGCCTTAAGAAGATAAAAGGCAAATGAGAGGTGTACTAAAATCCTAAACATTAGGCCTCCTTTTATAAGGTGAAATTTCCATTAAAAATTGTCATCCACCAATGTGTGACTTTTGACAATTTCAACAATCCCTTGCTTTCTTTAAGTGAGAGGATCTGGATAGTAATTAGAATCCTTACTCTTTGCCCTCTTTTTCTAATGATCTATGTCTTTCCAACTTATTTTGCTTAGCTTTAGAAACAAACCTACGTGAGAGCAATATGTAGAATACTATCTTTTGTTCTTCATGATAAAGAAGTGGTTTCAGTGTAAAAATTAACTCGCCACTTTTTTGGCCGGCTATTAGAGTTTAATCAGTTTTCCAAATGCTTAGCAATGTAGCCATTGGTCCATATGTGTTAGAAAAGTAACTATACGACTATTAAAGTTTAGCCAGTTTTTCAAATGCGTTAGCAAAGTAGCCATTGGTCCATATGTTAGAAAAGTACACTATAATGTTAGTGTGCATTCTTCTTTTTCGAGAATCAAACTATAAAGTTAGTTTGTTGATCAAATTCTTGTGTGATCCAATAGGACTTAAAATCCTTGTGTTTTGAACTCACATCCTATGGGAAGAATGAGAATTAGAGAAGCCGGTTGATTCACTTGTGCTCGTTAGCAGAAGTTTGCATATGTTTGCCGTCAAATATTTCATCTACTTATTGTAGACTAGAAAAAGATTTTTGCTCCAATCTCCGCTAAAATCCTCTCATTTTCATTAATATTTTAATTTTCGAATGTTCAAGTGTCCATTAATAACATCAAAAGATGATCAGAGTAAAATAATGCAATAAAACTCAGGACATGTGCCAAAACTATGAATCATACATACTCAATCAAATTAGCCGCATATTAGTCTGAAGTTAGGTGAAATCGTAAATAATTCATTCTACCCCAATTCAAATTCTAATATTTAGACAATTCACTATATATCAATTATTTTTACCTTAATTAACATCGTATCGTATTCTTTCAACAGAACTCAAAAGTGCACCATCAAAATTTATAATTTAGTGGTATAGTGGAAGAGTCACATTCGGGCTGAAAACTAACCACGGTCATAATGTAGTGCTTAATTGCACTTGCACCTTCAATGTCGTTGGAAAATGAGGTATTTTGTTGGAAAAAGGCAAAACACAAATAGGTGGTCTATATTTATTATCGGTTTGAATTTTGAACTACCAAAATGGTTGAACACTAATCTGGGATGGGCAAGATGTTGCTAACTTCATGAAAATTCTTTGTTTTAAAAAATCAAACATACCATCTATATCATGAAAATTCTTCATTAATATAATTGTGTTATTCCTATCATTTTTTAATAAATCTCTTAAAACACTAATGTAGTGCAAATCTTAAATTAAAAAATATTTATCTTACTAAATAGATTTATAGTATTAAAAGTGAAACAATAAAAAATATAACTAAATAAAAATGAAAATGTTTTATATGTTAAATCTTTTTTTAAAAGGATACAGTACCATAAGAGTTCAAAATCAAGAAAGCTATTCCTAGTATTAAATCACACGTGTTATTCAATAATTTTGTCATTTTCTGTTTAAAAATTTTGATTGATTAAATATTTTGTTGTCATTTTAATAAGTTTTCGCTTAATAATTTTTTTAAAGGGCACAGTAGCTTAAGAGCAACAAAAAATATTTCAATTTTTTGATTGATTAAATCAGAAAGTTCAACCAAAAACTCAAAAGAAATAAAATTGAAAAAATGAAAGAAAAAAAATATGCGGGGCGGGGGCAGGGGCGGGTGGATGCGGGTGTGAGTGTTGGGCGGGTACAAATGTTATGCGGTATGGGACGGGGCGGGTTTAATTCTTATGCGGGTTTGCCCCGCAATCGCACCGCACCGTTTGACACCTCTAAGTACGACGCCGTCTAAAAATCTGAAAAGAGATGCTTGTTTTTTCCTCCGCATTCTCCTCTGTCCACTCAGATTATTCCAGTCTTTCCAAAAGAAATACAGTACTATAAAAACGAGCTCCTTTTTCTGATTAATGCTCCTAAACCCTACCCAAAAACATAAAAAACAAAAAATCTAAAACCCCAAACACACAAAAAACACACAAAAAGGTGCAAGCATAGGGCTGAGATTGAGACCTCAAGTTCACCTTCTTGGTCGGAACATGGCGTCATCTCCGGTAACAATGATGAAGATGAAGGTAAACGACTGCTCTCCGCCGTCAACCACCGCAGCTCGGCTCCTACCGCTTTTTCGGCGCCACCAAATTCACTTCCGTTCCTCTGTGGGTCCCCTTCAGAACCCATGTTTTCCCAGAACCATCATCACTCATGCCAGTCGCTCATCTTTTTCCTCTTCCTCCGTCATCACTGGTAAATTCTGTTAAATGTATCGCACCGTCAGTTCATTTAATTTTCATATTATGAATCAAAGTTAAAAGTACTATAAATCACATTTTCTTATAGATTAGAAGTTAAGAAAGAATTGGCAATTTTTGCTTTAGGTTGAACGAATAAAAAGCTTAGGCTAGAAAATGATCTTTTATAGGATTCAAAGGTTTAATGGGATTTTTTATCGTGTAGATATACAAAGTTCAGACATTTATTTAATTAACCGCCTCAAAAAACTGTCGAATTTGTTCAGAAAGATATATCTCTTAAACTTAGTTTCTCAATTTAGCATTTTCAGCTTTCACTGCAAGACTTTATTTTGGCCAACGAATATATAATTTTAATAATTGGTATGTGAAGAGTTATGACTTCATTGAGCTTCTTAGTTGTAGGTAAGTTAGTTGAGAATTTTGTGTGTTCAGAGTGTTGGTGTTTGGCTTTGGTGGATTCATTCTGCCTATTGTTTTTAATTTTTTTTTCATTGTTATCGTTACTGTGCAGCCTCAATGACTACTGAGGCATCAGCAAAAGTTATTGATGGGAAAAAAATTGCAAAAGATGTTAGAGATGAAATAGCTGCTGAAATATCTTTGATGAAAGATTCGATTAGTGTAGTTCCTGGCCTGGCAGTTATTCTTGTTGGGGACAGGAAGGATTCTGCAACTTATGTCCGCAACAAGAAAAAAGCTTGTGAAGCTGTTGGGATCAAATCGTATGAAGTGTGTTTGCGTGAAGACTCAACTGAAGAAGAAGTTCTCAAGTATATCTCAGGCTTCAATGATGATCCTATGGTTCATGGAATTCTTGTTCAGCTACCGTTACCTTCTGTATGCTACCAAATTTTATTGTCTTTCATTGCTGAATTTTCTTAGAGTTAAAAATGTTAGACGTGTGACTTGATAAATGTCCAAAATGGATTTTAGATGAGTTATGATATGTCTAAATTGTTAACTATTGGATTTTTAGAGAAAGAAACCCTAAGCTTGCCTCTAGTCAAGATGTCAGATAGTACCTCATGACATTATTTGTGGTTCCCAATCAGTTTTTTTTTTAGTTTTGAAGTTTCCCAAAGCTAGTCTGCCAACGGATTTTATTTCATTTAGAAGCGGTAATTGGTAATGAACATATAATTGCTTGAATTGAAGTTTGATCTAACTTTGACTGACTAGTTTATTTATTTTCTAAATGGTTTCTGAGTATTATTTTTAATGTAACTCGTCGATACATTCTCTGTACACTTGAGTAATAGTGTATCTAGCATGCTAATGCTTCTACTTAGCTTATTCCTGACAATTTAATAATATTATCCTTTTTTTGTGTACTCGTGACATGCAGCATACCATGTTGATATATAAGGTTCAATAGAATTATAAGTCTTTGACCAGTGTAACTTGTTCGTTTGCTGCATGGGTGTGTTTGATCAGATGTCTATCATATTGCTGTATGACAGGGAAAAAAAATACTCTGCTGGACTAGCTCTTTGCTGTTAGAGATGAGTTAATTGATAAAAAATAAAGCTATTATACTTCTGATAGCTATTAATGTCTTTTTAGACCATTGTCTAATTGCTGAATAATACGTCTTCATCAACTGTGGATCAGCATATGAATGAACAGAACATCTTAAATGCTGTTCGCATTGAGAAGGATGTGGACGGATTCCACCCACTAAATATTGGCCGGCTGGCGATGCGTGGTAGAGAACCGTTATTTGTCCCCTGTACACCTAAAGGATGCATTGAGCTGCTACATCGGTACAATGTGGAAATCAAGGGTAAAAGAGCTGTTGTTGTTGGCAGGAGTAATATCGTCGGAATGCCTGCCGCTCTGCTTCTGCAGGTAATATTCTGGTGAAAAATGATATTACAAAGAGCTTCTTTCTAATAGCATTTGTGTTGAAGTCTTATAATATATGTGTAATTTAATTATGTCGTTCTCAATGCTCTTTCTATGTTTACCCTAGAGGGAAGATGCCACTGTCAGCATTGTCCATTCCAGAACCAAGAAACCTGAGGAGATCACGAGACAAGCAGATATCATAATCTCAGCTGTAGGGCAACCAAACATGGTTAGAGGTAGCTGGATCAAGCCTGGAGCAGTCATTATTGATGTCGGGATCAATCCTGTTGAGGTGTGAAATCTACGAACTGTCTCCTTATTCTCATCCTTGTCATTATGCAGTATACTTGTGTCTGATATTGCCTCGGCCTCCCTTCACGATCCTCTTTAAATAGATATACTTTATGCACAAGCATTTGCTAGTTTGTAAGACCAGTTATAGAATGTTCCAACCATTTGATGGTGGATAGTTCTCGTCACCCATATATTTGTTAAAAAAAATTCAAAACGGAAAAAGGAAAGAGATCACAGCTGTAGTGGAATGCATGTTTACCTTCTTATTGCCCCTAGACGACAGCTAATTTTTATGCTGTCTAACAGGATGCTACAAATCCTCGCGGCTATCGGCTAGTTGGAGATGTTTGTTTTGAAGAGGCCAGCAAAGTAGCTTCAGCTATCACTCCTGTTCCTGGGGGAGTTGGACCCATGACTATAGCAATGCTTCTCTCTAATACTCTGTTATCTGCAAAGCGAACTTACAACTACTGAGATTTTAAAATGTATTACGCTAGCGTGGTGGTGCATATCGTTGAGCTTCAAGTGCCTTCAACTGTCTTCCCCAACTAATCTGGATTTTTACTGGATAATAGGCCCCTTAAGGGGGCTTCCAACTAAGGTTTTTTATTCTCAAGACTTGAACTCGAAAACTCTGGTTAGTGGTCTACATATCATAATTATTCCACCACATGGTGGTGGTGGTTCTCTACTTTTTCTCCTTCCTCAAAGTTTAACATGTATTTTCTCTCTAATATGTTATCCCATTTAGACGTGGCACAACTCAAGTATAAAATTTGAAAATATATTCGACATAAAATAAGGAGTAGTGGAGATACGTGACCTTTTACTTTTTGATGTAAATCGTAGTGGAAAAGGTTACACCGAGAACTACATAGGCTGGTCTTGTTAGACTCCCCCCCACCCCTCCTTTTTGTTATTTTGTATTATACTAAAGAAAATGTACTCAGTTTAGGTTGAAAAAGTAATAATGGTTTTGTCAAAATATGACAATATTCTGGATAAAGGCAGTCGATTATCTGTCAATTTTTCATCACTAAGAAACTATATATGCTTGTTTACCATGCTTGTTTACCCGAAAGAACGGATATAGTTGAATTTATACGTAGTTCTAAGGATACATGGTATAACTTGACACAAATCGGAAAAGTAAGTAGAAATATATCGAATATTGACTGTAAAAAGAATGAAATACAGACCAAATTGAATGGCAAACGATTTATGAGCAAGCAAGATAAATCAATGTATAAAGCCCCAAAAAGGATAATCTCTATATAAATATCAGTAATCTCTTTAATATGGGAGTGTGTAGATGTCTTCAATCCCCCTTACAAAAATGATGGCCACTCTTCTTATAGTGGAGGGATCCGACTTTGAATATAATTAAAAATACATAGTGAGGATCGCATGATAGATTAATTAATTAGTTTTTCCTTAATTCCCGTCGAGATTCTCTCCCTTAGTGCGGCTATAACAGCTCTTGTCTCTCAGCTTGATCTTGGCCGGACCTGGTAGTGGTCGATCTCTAGGTTCCGAGCTTGATATTGACTCGGGCTCGGAATTGACTTGAGCTCGATGTTAACTCGGGCTCGGAATTGACTCGGGTCCTGACTCTTGAGCTCGATAACGCTACTTCATATCATAGCTCGATATTGACTTCGATTTTAGTATTGATCGGTCCCTAAATTTTGAGCTCGATCACCTGGCTTCGGATCTCATCTCGATATTATGAAGACGACCTTCGGTCCATTATGCTCAAATCCTGATTAATTATACGAAGGTCGAAACCGGTTTTGACCGTATACAGATAGTCCCCTCGTTTCTCGGGAAGGATGTGGCGAGAAACGACATGATTTTTCAATGATATGACTAGATATATACTGACGTTTGCATCGAGCCCGACCATGACGTACGCGATAGATGTCCCGTCGGTTAAGTTACCAAGGCAATAAATGTTCGTCAGACGATGGTCAGCCACTGTTGATTCTAAACCGCCATTGCCCAATCTATAAATAGCCCTTCTTTTCACTATTTTCCATTTTCAGATCTCCAACCTTCAAATCTTCTAAGTTCTTCACCTGCAGATCTGTGACAATCACTGCAAATTTTTTCTCAAAACACCAAATGCTTCCGATCTTTGTCCACAGAAATTTAGATGGCCAAAACGTCAAAAACCGTTCCGCAAAAAGAGGTTGCTTCTTCATCACGACCCGCTGGTGGCGAGGATGTGGTGGAGCCTTGCCCTGAGGAATTCGTTCCGGTAGGGTGTTCAACCGTTGGTGATTTTAAAATTGAAAAACTCTCTCTGGTACTGGGCCGATGTGAGCCAATGTCGAGGTACCAGTGTACAATCACCGAGAAAGTTCTCAAGAAAGTTAAACAAGAATGCAACTGGGATGATAAGCACGTAGTAGTCCCATCGCCTGATGAATCAATTACTACCCACGCGGAAGGATTCTTAAGTGTTTACACTTATCCTTTCACGATGGGTCCTTTAGACCCCGTCATCGTCGCTTTTTGCAAGAGATATGACGTGACCCTAGGCCAGATCCATCCTTCTTTTTGGAGGATAGTGATTCTTCTCCGATTTTTCTCGAGCAAAATCGAGGGGCGTATCTTCACCCTCGATCACCTTACGCGCCTTTATAGTCCCTGACTTTACCGAGGAGGGTTAATCAAGCTTGCTCGCCGAGCAGCCAAAGCGTCGTTCTCGAGTATTGACGAGACCTGTGAAAAGGGTTGGATGAGCCGTTTTGTTCGAATCTAAACCTCGGACCTGATCCCTGCCGATGATGTGCCGTTCCCTGAGAAATTGAACATGAACCGTGAGCAATTGTTTCCCTTTGTTCGTTTTAATTTTGAGACTACCTTTCATTTTCTTGATCCGTTTTTTCCTTTCTTCTCACAGCCGTAGCTCGGATGCCGGAACCGATTCCGGACCTTAAACAATGGGTTGAAAGTCTGGTGTCGTAGAGACCGTACTCCGAGCGCGCTTGGGTGGAATTATCAAAGGGTCGATGGGAGGCCCGTAGTCATGGTGAGTCTCTTTCTCGATTTGTTTGTTATTTGTTCTTCCTTACTTGCTTATCCTCCTTTTTCCCTTTGTAGGACTCGGGAAGGATGTTATCATGAGGACTCCGAAGCAGGTTAGACAAAGGAATAGAAAAGATGTACCGAGTTCCCCTAGTTTAGAAAAGGAAAAACCGGCTAGGAAATCTCGCAAGCCAAAAAGGGGCTCTGGTGTCATGCCTTCGGAATTGATCAGCTGATTAGGGACGAGCCCGAAGAAGGAGAAGAAGATTTAGCCTGTGTACGGGCTAATGTTGTGATACAATAATCTTCCGAATCGGCAGAAGTAAATAAGGGCATCCTGGCCATAATCCCAGAACAAGAAAAAATCGAGACTATCCCGTCTCGAGCTAAGATGGTTGAAGGGGAGGTCGAGGGGTAGAACTTCTCAGGCAGCAGAAGATACCTCGAGGGACGAGCTCGGGATAGTTTGACATTAGCGGTTCCCCTCACATTTCGGATGCTATGATCCATGAGGCCAGCATGTTGGAAGGTCGATCCTTCAAGGATATTCAGGAGCCGACCGATATCCACGGTTTTCTGGATGAGCTCGAGTCGGCTTCCTCGGAGGAGGTTATCGATTTTGGTGGAATATCGATACCAAAGAAAATATCATGGTTGGGTTCTGCTGGGTCTTCATCGGTTCAAAAACTGGTGGACCGATTCCCGGCCCCGAGTGTTGATCCCGATCGTAGGCGGAAGGTAGTGCTCTCCGTGCCTGAGGATACCCAAATTTTCTCTCCCCCCGTAGGGATTGCTAGTTACCTTCGGTCATTGGTGACCGAAGAGGATCAATCAGTGATGAATGCGATGGGGCCCTCCTGTCTTTTTAACGAGGCCCAACATGCTTTGAATCGGGTAACTCTGATGGCATCTCTACTGTTTCTTTTTTACTTAGAGTTGTACATAATTCTAATGTTTTTCCTCATGTTTGTAGTCTTCGGTGCTGCATCACGAATCCTTCCTCCGAATCCGAGAAGAACATGAGGCTGAGGTTCGGAACCTCACTAAGAAGAGTGACTCTTACAAGCTCCTTAGTGAAAAACTTCGAGCAGATTTGACAGCAGCTCGGGAAGAGCACGAGGAGATGGCTGAGCAGGTATTCCGATTTTTTCATGATAGTGAAGATGAGAAGGAGATAACCACTAACGATCCGATTCTGCAGGTTCGGTAAAGGATCGAGCAGATCAGACGGCTTAACTCACGGGTTTATGGGCTACTGGCTGAGGCGGAGGAATTTAAAAAGTATATGGATATCATTGCCTCAAAAAAGGAAACCGTTCAAGTTCAATTGGAGTTGTCTGAGGCTCAACTTCGATCTGCAAAAGAAAATGCCTCGGGGCTGATTGAGAAGATGAAGAAGCTTCAACATCGGTTGGATTTGTCTATTTCTGATAGAGTGGGCTTGGCTGATGAACTTGAGGTGGCCAGATCTGAGGTCATCGAGGCTAATAAAAGAGCCGATGCTAAAGTGGCCCAGTTCAGGATCGATGTTGAGGTCAACCAAGCTAAAGCCAAGAGCATGGCCGAACACGCTAAATGGCAGGCTCGAAGAGAAGCTCTCGAGGAGGTCAGTCTCAGGGCTTCGATGTTGGGGCCGAGATTGAAGTTGCCAGGGAGGAGGAAGACAAAGCTCGAAAGCTTGCCTTCCCAGAGGAAGACTCCGATAGCTCGAGCGGATCTGAAGGTGAGGAAGATGCTGAGAACACAGTCTCCGATGAAGATCAAGCTATTTAGGACCTTAGGTAGTTTTTTTTCTTTCTTTTGAGGTTGCTTTCGGTTTTTGTAAATAACTTCCTTTGAGCCGAGTTGCCTGTCTGCAAGATTTGTATATAAAATTTTCTCCCTTTGAAGCAAAATAGCCTTTTAAGTTTGATATGTAGTCTCTGATTCGGGGCAATAGTTCGAATCTGAATTGCATAGCCTTCGGGCTTTGTGGATAGTCCCCTCGTTTATTGAGCTCGAATTAAGGTAGCCTTCAGGCTTTAATGGTTGAATGTGTGTTTGTTCGAACTTGAATTTAATGTAGCCCTTAGGCTTAATAGTCGAGTGAGTGTTTTTCTCAGACTTGAAATAAGAATAGCCCATAGGCTTTAGTGGTCGAGTGAGGATTTGCTCGAACTCGAAGTAATGTAGCCCTTAGGCTTCGTAGTCGAGTGAGAATGATTTCTCGAACTCGAAATAAGAATAACCCTTAGGCTTAGCGATCGAGTGGGGATTTGCTAAAACTCGAAATAAGGTAGACCTTGGGCTTCGTGGTCGAGTGAGGATGATTTCTCGAACTCGAAGTAATGTAGCCCTTAGGCTCTATGAGTGAGTGTTTACTCGAACTCGAAATAAGGTAGCCCTTGGGCTTCGTAGTCGAGTGAGAATGATTTCTCGAACTCGAAATAAGAATAGCCCTTAGGCTTAGTGATCGAGTGAGGACTTGCTCGAACTCGAAATAAGGTAGCCCTTGGGCTTCGTAGTCGAGTGAGAATGATTTCTCGAACTCGAAATAAGAATAGCCCTTAGGCTTAGTGATCGAGTGAGGACTTGCTCGAACTCGAAATAAGGTAGCCCTTGGGCTTCGTAGTCGAGTGAGAATGATTTCTCGAACTCGAAATAAGAATAGCCCTTAGG